ATATAAATTTTCATTAGGTCCCCCAGTGAAAATGCTTTATTTTGGTATATGTTCGGATTAGATGGAGAGGGATGAGTTCTTGCGCCAGTTGTTAAGATAAATAGGCTGTAAATCGAATTAGCTAAGATTAGGATAGTCAATGATGTCCCCATATTCTCCTTCTGCCTTGGCACTTGTGCCACAAAAAATGGATTAATTTTAAATAAATACGCAAATCAAAACTCCGGAAATTGCATTCAGTATTCGGGTATCATTCAGAAAAATAGATTGATCTGAAACTGTATTCTTTTGTCGAGAACATGCTCGTAAGAATTTAAGCCCTACACGCAAGCGACCAATCTGCCGCTGGATGGCATGCCACTAGCGTTTAAAGCTGGTTGCCCGCTATCGGATCGACGGCGTGTTTGATTCGGCAATATTACTACTGGCGGACCGCTAGAGGCCCACCGATGGCTGCCACCAGATGACCGTAGGCGTTGCCATCGGCAGCCCGTCAGCAGGCCACTAGCGGCTTGCGACTAGGGAGGCTATATAGAGATCATTCAATAAACCAAGAACAACTGACAAAGAATATCGGGGAAAAGGAAGAAATGGAAACGTATCTGTACTATCGAAGTGTACTCATTGATTAAAACTATATAACGTGAGTATGATTCGATCCTATAATAAGAATCGATCCTGACCTGTCATATCGACTTCAGTCACTTTCTTGACATGGCTTCCCTCTTCGACAAATATTTTCTTGACAATTGTTCTAATGAGCTTTATTCCCTAGTGTCTCGACTGCATGAATTTAAGCGTGATGCTAGTTTTGCTGTTGCATTAGCTAAATGTAACTTACACTCCTTTTCTAATAGTTTCATTTCATGCACTTCTTACTTGTTGAACCCCATTCTGTTCTTACTTCCCAGTCACATACAATCTCAAAAAATTAAAAGCAATGTAAATCGCCATCTTCTAACTTCTTGTATCATGTTCCTTTATTGTCACTTCCGCTATTCTCTTCACTAATGTCTTCTCATTCTCTTTTACTTCTTGTAACTGCTTACATCCTAGTGACATTATCGCCTTGCTTGGAGGGAAATGATATACATTTATGTATGTATGGATGTACGTATATATATATATATATAATTCATTTTTTTTATTATGGAAGTCATAATTTTTTATAATAAATAGTATTAGCAACATTTACCGGCCTGAATGTCCGAGAAATTTTCACAGAATTTTTTTACGTTTATACATTCGTTTTTATAGATACAAATATTTAAGTAAATGCTCTGTTTATAATAAACAGTATTAAATAACATTTACCGGCCTGAATGTCCGAGAAATTTTCACAGAATTTTTTTACGTTTATACATTCGTTTTATAGATACAAATATTTAAGTAAATGCTCTGTTTATAATAAACAGTATTAAATAACATTTACCGGCCTGAATGTCCGAGAAATTTTCACAGAATTTTTTACGTTTATACATTCGTTTTATAGATACAAATATTTAAGTAAATGCTCTGTTTATAATAAACAGTATTAAATAACATTTACCGGCCTGAATGTCGAGAAATTTTCACAGAATTTTTTTACGTTTATACATTCGTTTTATAGATACAAATATTTAAGTAAATGCTCTGTTTATAATAAACAGTATTAAATAACATTTACCGGCCTGAATGTCCGAGAAATTTTCACAGAATTTTTTTACGTTTATACATTCGTTTTTATAGATACAAATATTTAAGTAAATGCTCTGTTTATAATAAACAGTATTAAATAACATTTACCGGCCTGAATGTCCGAGAAATTTTCACAGAATTTTTTTACGTTTATACATTCGTTTTTATAGATACAAATATTTAAGTAAATGCTCTGTTTATAATAAACAGTATTAAATAACATTTACCGGCCTGAATGTCCGAGAAATTTTCACAGAATTTTTTTTACGTTTATACATTCGTTTTATAGATACAAATATTTAAGTAAATGCTCTGTTTATAATAAACAGTATTAAATAACATTTACCGGCCTGAATGTCCGAGAAATTTTCACAGAATTTTTTTACGTTTATACATTCGTTTTTATAGATACAAATATTTAAGTAAATGCTCTGTTTTTCTATGAAAATTTCTCGAACATTCAGGCCGGTAAATGTTATTTAATACTGTTTATTAAAAAACAGAGCATTTGCTTAAATATTTGTATCTATAAAAAAAAAAAAAAAGTATGTATAAACATAAAAAATAATTGTCGGACTTTGTTCATTTCATAATGTGTGATGTCATCTCTTTACATTTGGATAAGCATTGAGCAGATATGAATGTATGAGAGAAAATCATAGAGAATTGTGTTTAAAAACAGTAAAATCGACCTTGCTAACCGAACGCTCCTCTGTGGCCCAATGCTTGTTCTTGCCAATATATTCATTTTTTTATCTCAAATTCTTCACATTTGTGGTCCGATCATCGCTCAGTAACATTGTATGGACCTGTTATATTTTTATTATTACACATGGCATTCAATATATATAAGACATTAAAAATATTAAATAGTAATAACTATACTGTTTCAGGGGGCGTCACGATGTTATTGTAACCTATGAATATATATATATATATATATATATATATATATATATATATATATATATTGCTGTACGTTATCTATATAGACACAAATACTTTAAGTAAATTTTCTGTTGATAATAAAAAAAATATTGGGCGAGTCTATCACACACGAACATACATACAAAAATACAAATCACATACAACGCCAAGCATTCATTGGTTAATTAATCACCACTACGTTATTATAGACAATTTACAAATCGCAGCAATGCGACAATTTTGTAATCGCTTTATTTTCATGTAGTCACTTTTGTGTACTTTTGTGAGAAATGGATCACAGAAGCTTTCTTAAGTCTCCCCAAAGCTCGCTCGCTGATTAGTCTATGCCAACCAATCAGATCACCTGCACGTGAAGAATAATTCTTCCCGCGCAGCCATCTGGAGCCTATAGTCACTTATTTAAGCAAGAATTTTTCTTAAATAATTAGTGAGAATTCAGCTGCCAAACGAATCCACGACAGTTGAAAGCATGCGCCAACCTTCTCGCTCACACACACCACTCACATGCTGAACATACCTTGTACACACTCGCATAATCTTTTCTAACACGGCAAATTTTTTAAGAACAGTCATTATAAGAGACTCTCGTGAACATTATTCAAATGAACTTTGAAATACTAGAATAATAGTTAAAGAGAGACAACTCTTGTTTTATTCAACCTTTTCTTACTTAAATGCATGTTTACTTTCATATCGGTTTTTAACATTGTACATCTTGTTAAATACATATTTCATGTGTAACAATGTGATTTGCTTATCCTTTTCTGCGTCAACCCTGTTTTCTAATCTAAAGTTGAATTAATGTGGTGAAGTCCGCCACAATATTAACAAAATTTTGCCCGCTTGAACGTCCGAGAAATTTTCATAAAATATATGTGGCCTCCAACAGCAATCGAACAGAAAGCAGTAAAAATGATCTTGCTAATCAGATGTTCCTCTGTGGCTAAACTGGTATAGCACGTTAGGCTATATGACGACTCTGTGTAGGATACAGTTTCTACTGCTGTCGGATGAAACATATTTTCTATGAAAATTTCTCGGATTCTTAGCCTTTTCAAGGCAAGAGTCAATCGTTATCTATCCTCCGTTTTGCCATAACTTCACTTCTTAGTTTTTCGGCTTACATTCATATCACAAATCTCATTCAGTAATCCTCTGCATAAAGTGTCTATTGAGCCTTATATTGTGATAACTTTAGTAAGAACAAAGCCAATGTATAGTATGAGAATAAGTTTATCTTGAAGGTTTTACCAATGTCGGTTCTCTAAATATATTATGAAAGAAAAGAATTGCATAATAAAACCTACTTTGAAATATATGTGTGTAAATAGCTATTTAATTTCCTTAATGCGATTAAGAAAGAAAACCTCTTAGACATATTTGTTCCATAAGGTTTTTGTATTTATAGAAGATTGGAATATCTACTGATATCAGAAAAAAGCAATACAAATGCAAAAGAATGTATGTCTATGTTTTATATATATTATAAAAATCGTTTGATAAACTATGCCACAAAGAACTGCTTGAACTGTTAAGTAATCTTAGGAAGGATATAGGAATATTCTAGAATCCATACTGGCATCGAAACCGCCGCCTGCATTCGGATAGAAATTGTTGCATCGTCAAGGTGAATGATATATGAAAACATATGGAAACAACGCATAAACTACATAACGAGCTTGAGTAAATAGATGTCAGAAAGTTTCAGTAGCAAATTTTGAAACTAGCTCCATTCTTAAGTTTCATTGGTTCAGACCTTTACAAGAGCCGCCATGCTGCGTTCACAATTGTTACCCCTTTAAATCTAAATGAACTGTGAGGTTTTGACTTATATGAGCCTCGCTTAGAATCTCCAAGAATTAAAAAGATAAGTTCTCCTGCACTAAGGGCCATATAGATATCTTTTAATATTTTCCCTTTAATTCAGTTCTCCTTTACGTTTTACTTCCTATTTGATTGCTATTAAATGGAATAGATAAAGTAAATTAAATAACAAAACACTTTTAAACAAAATTCTGACGCATAATTACATTCCGGCTTTTCAATAAAAATCAGTAACATTTCACTACATATTTTTATTTCATTTAGCTTCTTCCATTATCATATTATTATTATTATTATTATTATTATTACTAATACTACTTCTATTACTATTATTATTATTACTGTACTTTCTGTTTCTTTTTTACTACTCATTAAAACACAACAACGTATGTAGTCCTCTCTCTTTTCATTTTAATACCCCCCACCACAAGACCTGCTCTTTCCAATTAACACTGAGTTCCCAGATAAAATCCACCCGGAAGAAAAAAAAAAGAAATGCTAAGAAGGAGACAAAAAGTCTTTTGGCAGAAACCAATTAGGCGAAACGGACTTCAAAGAGGAGGATTTTTCGGCAAGCCGTTCGTTTGATACGCGTGCATCATGTCGTTAGGATGAAATATGAGCGAGACAGAAGTCTTTGCGAATACGGGGTAAGTGGCTTTATTTGTCGGCCTCCGGTATCTTATGAGAATCGGGCAAAATCCGACCGTGTCTGTTGGCGGTCTTTCGCGGACAGCTGAGCAGCACTTTGGCAACCTATGAAAACAGCTTGGAAAATCACCAGCGTTTGAAGTCCTTACAAAACGGAACGTTTGATTTGCCTACACCAATGAAGTCATGTGTGTGCATGCATTTAAGAATCTATCATCTTTACACGCTTATTGCTATATAAATATTAGTATATGTGTACACTTCTGAATTATTTATATGCCTTATTCATATGGTTGCGCATTATTGTAAGCATATGTATATATAAGTAAATATAAGAATAATCGTAAATACTTACTTTCTTCCATGCAACAATTGATAATGAATGCTATATATTTAAAGATTTCGATAAAATCCAAAGAACCAGCAATATTATTGGTCCTGTCTTGGCGTTTCGGCTTCAGTCACTTTCCCACCACCGTAAAGTTGCTTCCCTTTGCCTTTTCTATAAATATTTTCATGCTAATTGTTCAGAGTAGCTCTTCGCTATCATTGGAGCTAGCTTTTAAATTGGTGTTTTGTTCCCATCCCCGACAGAGAATGAATTGTACATAAGGGATTTAGTTAGGACTTTCATAGAGACAATGAGGTATTATGGTGGATGTAGTAAGAAAGGTGAGTAAGAACGCGTTGTTTTAATGTAAGGAATATTATTTGTATGTTTTTTTTTGTTGTTGTTTGTGGCTAGCTAAGTTATCGTTAAGACAGAAGCAGACCGTCCTTTACCCCATTCCCCCATTTTGGCCTTTTAAATATCTGTCTTCCCTATCGTATCTTATACCTTAAGAATTTAAGCGCAGTACTAGTTTAACAACAAGGTCTTATTAATTTACAGTTGAATTGGCTAGATGTAAATATAATTTCTATGTTTTTTTCTTATACGTGTCTCTTGTGGATCTCTCTCCATGCTTTCAAGTTATGTTTGATCTTCAAAAATTTAAATGCAATGTCAATAGTTTATCTACAGTCTACCTGATAACACTTTTATTGTTCTCGCCTCCTAGTAATGTTTCAGTGTTCTGATTCGTTCACACCTAATAACCACTTACATCTTAATGATTTTACTGCCTTGCTTGAAGTAAATCCGTTTAAAAAAGGAAGGAGATTTTACTGTTAATGCTTCCTGTATGTGGAAATAGTTCTGGCAGAGTAGTATTTCGTCTATGTTTACCGTAACGACATACATTAACAAAACAACACATTTTACAAGCATGTGGCGATTCAACAAATTGCAGGGAGAACTAGATCCATGTTTTCATAAGAGTACCAGGGCAAAATGAACATTGGTATTTCGTTTTACGTTACACCACCTTGCACTTTCAAATAATTAAGTATGCGAGCATTTAGAACGAAAGTTACACACTAACACAAACACACAGACACAGACACACACACACGTATATATATATATATATATATATACAGAGAGAGAGAGAGAGAGATCGCGATGGATGAACTGTCGTCTAAATTACGGAAAAATAAAAATAACACTATTTCATTATAGCAGATACATTTACAAAATTACACAAGAGTATCTTGAAGTAGTAAAGAGTCAATAAAATCGCCAATGGTTTTCAACCACGGCTTCCAAGCGACTTCGGAATCTCCTGCAACTCTTCTAAACTAGTCTGGGGAGTCAGGTGAGCAGATGTAAGGTCGCAAAAATAGTCTGACTGTTGTAACCGGGAACTAAGGAAACGGAAGTACCATTTCAGCTATTGTTTAGACACGGAAGTATTCATAGTAATGATAATTTCGGATAAAAATCCTTGGAAAAATTACTACACACATCCACACATACACACACATAGATAGATAGATAGATAGATAGATAGATAGATAGATAGATAGATA